TGATCCCGCAATGGCAACTTATTACTCCTCCTCCTCGTGTTGTTCTGGTATCCTGGTATCAGGCAGCGGGAGCAGAAAGTCGGCATCGACTTTAGAAGCAAGCCATAGTCACCGTGCCCCCCCCCGGGGAAGATGGGCCAAAAGAACGAATCTGGTATGGATTTAAATAAAAAAAGAAGTTTTGGTAGGAATCTTTTAAATATAATACCTACCGGTACTGTACTCATAGTGTACAGTACTCGAGATATAATATGTAGCTGTCCGATTGCCCATGCAAGCCAAACCACCCAAGTTAGGCCAACCACTAGACTTAAAAGAACTTGTCCATACAGTACGAGTACCGACCACTCCCCTTCTTCCACAAAAAGTAAGCATACTTATCATACATAAACAATCCCATTCTAACCAACTCAGGCCTCCCTCCACTTTTTCTCAAGTTGATGGATCGCGTGGGTCGTAAGGTGTGGGGCCCCACACATTTCCGCACGGTTCATCCCGTTTTTCTAAATGACGGCGGCGAAGACGCCAACGATCTCCCCGTTTCCGTCCACCCCGTCTTGGCAACGATTAAAAAAAAAAAAAAAAACTGATGATAATATCATAATAATAAAAGGAACTATTGCCCAAGCGGGCAAGCGGGGTTGAGATCCAGACTTCCCTTGTTTGGAGGATACGGCAAGTTATGAATCTTCAGAGTGCTATACTCGAGTACGAGTACTGTACATACAGGTAAAAACTACTGTTATGACCGGATGGGTGCTTTGTAGGGCGCTGTGATTACTCGTAAAGTTGCTCGTGTTACGGTGTGGTGGAGTTGAGGGGCTGATTGCTGTGTATTTGTTGATCTATTGGGCCAAGTGCTCGCATCACAGGGTGGGTCAGGCATCCAGCAGTGAACTGCTGCTGCGTCAACGTTTCCACGGCGAATTCCACCTTCATAAACAAAAATTTTAAGCCCCTGTTTCACCAAATCCCTCCTTCCTTTCTTCCTGTGCATGGCATGGGCACATATCATAGGTGCTACATACGAAAAGCGCTTCTCGAGAGAAGAAGGGTGAGTATTGAAGTCCTAGGAATTATCCCGAAACCTAACCTAGGGAAATAGAAAGCTAGTGTATCATAGTCTAAGTTAGGAGTCCAGTTCTGAGGTACTGCACTGTACAGTACTGTACTCTCTTATCGTCGTCACCGTCACGATAAATCAACCTCCTCCGCACTCCTATTCCGACCTCACCTCTCCTCGTCTCAACCGTCTCTTCCCCTACTTCCTCATCGCCATCACTACCCCCCCTCCTCCTCGCTTCACCCCGCCCTCCCCCCGCACCTCCCTCCCTTCGGCCTCTCCTTTCTCCATACGCCCAAACCTTACCCTCCCGCCCCCTCTCCCATCAACGAACAAAACAAGTGAGAGAAAAAAAAATGGACCCCCAAACCGGAGGTTGGCACTACAACAAGAACAGCGATCCACCCCATGATTGGGACACCTCCCGCGACGCCGCCAAGTACTTCCGAGTGGTACGATGGATCGACGCAGTTGTCGCAAACCCCTACACTCCAAACGAGAAGGACCCATCTGAATCCCCGCCCATCTTCGTCCTCCCCAACGGATCCCTCCCCTCCACCTCCTCCACCACCTCCTCCACCTCCGCCTATACTACACTCCCGCCAGCAGGGACACAACTCCCACGGCAGCTAAAGTACTTTGAGATCCAGGGCGGCGACAAAGATGATGAGGGATCTGAGGGACGTGCGGATGATGGGCAAGGGTGGAATGCGCAATTACCTGAAACAACGCCGGCGCCGGGTGGGCATGTTAAGAAGCCGCAAACGGTGTGGGCCGGATCGAAGACTTTTAAGGCTAAATGGAATTTTTACGAGTTGAGGGTGGAGAGGGTACACATGGGAGGAGGGCGTGCGGTTGCTGGGCCGTCGGTTGGGAGCGGTGCCCAGCAGGGTGTTCCGGCGGCTGGAAATGCCTACAGGAATAGGAGTACCACCGAATCGTTCGCTGAAGTGGCCAGTCGTGCAGAAGGGGCTGTAGCGGCGGGGAGAAATGGTAGAGGTAGCGGAGGTGCTGGTAGAGGAGTGTATACTTTCTCGCCGAGAGGTGGTACCGGCGGGATGAGAGGGAGGGGACGTGGGAGGGGGGGCATCGGTGATAGTTGGCGTGGAGGGGTCTATCGCCGAGATGGGTTGCTTTGAGATACCCAGTATCCCGGTATCTTATACAATGCATAGCACTTCTGTCCGTGGAGCTGCTGTTTCACACGGACATTCAATCAACCGAACCGATTCGCAAAAATTCGGCACCATCTATGACGTTTTTTCTTTTCTTTTACTTGCTCTTTTTCTCTATCCAAAACCCAAACGAAAACGTTGTCTATTTCTTTTCTTCCCCCCCCCCTTTTTTCCTTTCAGTTTTGCTAAGCGGGAGTTCGGATCATACATCAAGTTTGTGGGAATGGGTCAGGCTGGTTTAGGGAGGTTTTTTTTATTTTTTCGGGGTGGGGTTTCTTTCCCATGCTTTCTCTTCGACATATTTGGCGAATACCCGAGCGGTAGACTTTAGCGTTTACATTTACTATTGTGCTATCGCCGCGCACTTGCTATGGTGATTTCTTGATGGGGTGGGATGAGCTGTTGTACGTGCTCCATTATCACACCGTATGGGGGCGGGGTTCCATCAGCGTGTTCCTTTCCTTTCCTTTCCTTTCCTTTCATTCTTTTTTTTCTCGTGTGACAATTACATGACCAACTCATCGCCTCATCTTGCAATCGCAACCTTCATCACGATATCCTCTTTGTATTTTAAATCTCAGGTTTCACTTTTCTTTGGGCGCATTGTCATTGCTGAATCTCCATTTCATTCCTCTGCTATCCTCTCCCCTTATTTTCCTCCTACTCGAGTATTTTCAAGTTAGCAAGCACAAAAACGCCGACCTATATCAGTTACCAAGTCACTTTTTTATCATCCTCTCTCGTTTTTACCCTTCTTCTTATCCCCCCCCACTTGCTTAAATCATGCATGGTATCGTATCTGGACCAGGTAGGGAAATAAAAATTTTTTATCATTCATTCGAGTTGACGGGACACTTTTGGTCCAGGAGTCAGAACTTCTCTCATTAAATCCAAGCGAATACCTCATCTCAAGCTGCGTAGTGTTTTTAGACTGTATGGTCAAGTACAAATTGTACAATTCGCTTTGTCAAGTGCATACCATAGATTTACTCGGAACATATGATACAGGAAAACTCATAGCAGTTAACCCAAGGCATCACCTGGGGAACCCAATAAAATGAAAAGAAACCTCAAACCCTCCAGAAATATAACAAACAAGCGGTAAGGTAAATACAAGTATCACATCAAGGATTATCACGAGTTATGCCAACCCATCAGCTCCCATATTTGTGACCACAAATTGGAGATTCCTATGAAGGGAAGATTTATCCCCCCCCCGCCGTTGCTCTTCCATAGGGCTGGGTCAGCTCCAGCGTTGGACACCGGTACCTCAGGGTCCTCGCCCGGTCTTGCCGAGGCTATGGACAGACAAGTCCAAAATTATGCGCCAGAAGGTCTGACTGTGGTCCCGGTGCAGTGATCACATCGCGGGTCCTAGACCTGACCCGACCAACTCGTCACATTTTGTTGTCGACCTGGGACTTGGGGACTCGGAGTGCCATGGAGTTCCAGCACTCCCGGTATCATAGGGGAGGGAGACGGGAGGTGTGGTATGTACGAGTACAAGTAGAGTACTCGAGTACACTCCTTGCCAGCCCATCCCTTCCCCTCTCAACCCACATAGCTCCGGATATGGTGGCGTGCCAGACAGGGTCTTGGTTTGATCTCACCGTTTACTCGTACTCGTAGTGGTTCCTAGCAAGGGCTCCTCGTTCGAGGCGGGAAGTACTGCACAAGTACAAGTATCATACTCGTGTAGTACCGGTATGTGGTATCCCCCCTGTTTTCGGGCACAAGGCAAGATGTCTAAAGGCTTGGGATGAGGACGTCGAAATTGGCTTTCTAAGTTAAACAATGTTTCGGTCACATCACATCACATCACATCACATCATATTGATCAGCGCAGCTTCCAGCCTTACGCCTATCATAACCTGAACCTTGCTAATGTCCGTTACCACAGCAACCCTACCGCCCTAACCAACACATCACCTTCGCACTAATCTAACACAAGATGCCAAAACAAGATGCGTCTTCCCGCTCGAGCGCAGCGGCGTTCGAAGGACAACAACACACACGCCCCACCCATCGCATCTCAGCTACCGGTAGTTGGCCCGGCTGGCTGATATCAAGCCCATCCGCCCGTCCACACTCACTCACCCACTCGCTCATTCATCCTTCTCTTCTTCCCCTCCTTCCACTTCCCTTTTCCCTTCGCGCTCACTAGCTTTCTACCCTTTGATCGCCTTTCTCCTTTTCTTTCTCTCTCCTTCTTTCCTTCTCACTCCGCGCTCGCTGCGATTGCACTTTGTCTTTTAACCAAGGTGTTGTGTTTCACCTGCCGACCCGAGAGCTTCATACATATATACATACATATATCCATTCATTTGTTTCGTTGAACAATCGCTATGGCAGCGAGTTTAGCGTCAAAGTTTGAAGTTTTGGAGGAGTTAGGAAGTGAGCTATACACCCATTCGACTTTCCGTGAATGCATGAATACATGCCTGACGTGCGCCTTTAGGTGGGAGCTTTGGCGTTGTTTACAAGGCGATAGAGAAGGAGTCTGGGACTGTTGTTGCTATAAAACATGTTCGCTTCATCCTTTCCCCTTGAGGAATAGAGAGGGAGGTCGCGAGGGCTAATTGGGAGTTTCTGCCTCTTTTTCGCACAGATTGACTTGGAGTCCAGCGAGGACGACATTCAAGAGATTCAACAGGAGATCTCAGTACTGAGCACTTGCGCTAGTCCGTTTGTCACGCAGTATTACGGGAGTTTTGTTAAAGGGTACAAGTTGTGGATAGGTGTGCCGTCTGCGCTTTCGACATGGCATGAGGAGAATTGTTAATATTGACGTCGCGCAGTAATGGAATACCTTGCCGGCGGGTCCTGCCTCGACTTGCTAAAACCCGGTCCCTTCAGCGAAGCCCACATCGCCATCCTGATGCGAGAACTCCTCCTTGGACTAGACTACCTCCACCGAGAAAACAAAATCCACCGCGACATCAAAGCGGCCAATGTCCTTCTCTCCGGCACCGGCCAGGTCAAACTCGCAGACTTTGGCGTGGCGGCCCAACTCAGCAACCTCAAATCCCAGCGCAACACATTCGTCGGGACCCCCTTCTGGATGGCGCCCGAGGTGATCTCCCAGACGACGGGTTACGATTTCAAAGCGGATATATGGTCACTCGGGATCACCGCTATGGAACTTGCGCAGGGCGAGCCGCCAAACGCTGCCATTCACCCGATGAAAGTGCTATTTCTGATCCCAAAGGAGCCGGCGCCGAGGCTGGAGGGTAATAGGTGGTCTAAGGATTTCAAAGACTTTGTGGAAAAGTGCTTGAATAAGGATCCGATTAAGAGGGCTAGCGCGAAGGAGCTCTTGAGGCACAGGTTTATCAGAAATGCCGGGAGGACACAGCTGTTGCAGGACTTGATCCAGAGGAAGCAGAAGTGGGTGGGGAGTCAGGGTGGTAGACAGGCGCATCCAAAGTTGTACCAGGCTACAATGTTTGTTCTAGCATTCCTTACCAAGCCCACACATGTATACTGATAACTGTGCGGTAGGAACACAATGGCACTCCAGGTAGACGAAGACTGGGACTTTGACACCATAAGGACAAACCCGCACCTTACACTCCGTCACCAAGACTTCAAAACAATAAGAGGTGGCCGGAGCGTATCCGATTCTTCGCATTCCTCAGACTTTGAGGAAATCCCCATAAGTGTCGCTCTACAAAATCTAGCCCTCAACTCAGCTCCTCATAGCGAAAACACCGGCCATAACGGGCGTGTGGCTCCATCACCATCGAAACCGACCTGCACAGGGACGGCCCGGAGGAAGAGTCCTTCAAATGCAAGTTCCAATCCTGTTCGTCCCGGGCAGCTCCACCACCAATCAAGCCACCACCACCACCACATAACCAAAGAGTCCCAAGTCCTCCACAGTGACCCCTCCCGCTCCCCCTCACCGGAAGTGCAATCCCACACAGCAAGGTCCACGTCGACCGTACGTCCCGTTAGAAAAGTTTCAGGGAATAACGGTCATACCCCCTCTGTTGCCACTGCCAATTCCTCCGCTCCGCCTTCCAATGCCGCTCCAACGGGTCTTGCCTCCCGGCCCTCGGACGCCCGAAACCTCTACAACACCATAATCCACACCTCCCTTGCACGATTAACCACAAACACCTCCGCAACCCCGCAAGAACACCTAGCCGCCGCCCGTCTATCGTCGGCATGGTCCTCGCTAAACGAGATAAACCCAGAAGCTAACATCCTTTTCCTCCATTCCATGATTGACCAGCTCCAGCGGAATCCTGCCCTCAACGCGCTCGTTTCTCCTACACCTCCGCCACCTCCACCCCCTCCACCTACTACCGCCACCGCTGCAAAAGCAACCCCAGTGAGATTATCAGGACCATTATCCAGCAGCCCAGCAACCACGGGCTCACCACTAGCCAGAAGAAAGCGCCGGAGTAGTGTCGTATCTGGAGCGGGGGCTAGCGACGTAGGAGGTAGAAGAAGGGGTGGGAGTAGCTCTAGCGTTGGCATGGAAGAGACTGCAGAAGTGAAAGGCATGAACGCAGTTTTGGCGGACGTGTTGTATGGGCGGTGGGTCGAGGGGTTACGGGGGAGGTGGGGTTCTGCTGAGCGGTCATAGCTGGCTTGGCTTGCGCCGACCTGGGTTGCCAATGTGATATACCTTGTCTTTTCTTGTAGGTTTCTTTTCCTTCATGTTTTGCCTTCTCTCTTTCTCCTTTTTTTTCCTTTGCCCGTTTACCATGATTTGCGTGCAATTGTTCGGTTCGGCTTGGTTTGTTTCGGTCTGGCTTTTCATTTCTTACTCTTCCACATTAATATTGGCATGGCTACTTTACATCGTGCTAAGTTGTGTTGGACGGTTGGTCAAGGGTAGGCATTTTGAAATAGCCTTTCCCTTCTCCCTCGTCCCTTATTCCATTCTCCTGTTATTAGTCGTTCAAGAGCGGGTTTGCGCTTGCAGTTTGTTGTATATTTTGCAGTTCTCATGGGACATGATGGATGGATCGGGTGGGTGGGTGGGGGGTATATATCGGCAGGATGGGATAGGCATTGGAATGTCATTTATACCATACACCATTGTAGTATTGTATAATTATTCTTTCCCGGACATTCAAGCCCCTATGATACCCTAATAATCGGTCAGTCAGTGTCGTGTTTGCGCACAACATACATGCACCCATATATAATACGTCGGGATGGAAAATCCCAGTGATAAGAGTGTTCGCAGCAGCGCATCACACCAACACCATCCGGGAACCACCTCGTATTATTATCCACTTCGCATACCCCGCTCACACCACAACACCCAGACTGCGCTTGGCTTTCCACCTTTCGTCGTGAATGCTATGCGAACGTATAAGACCTGCCTTTTACCGTCCTCCCCACCCCATAGCGCGGGACCAAATTTTGCTCTTGTGTTGTAGTCTACTGCGGGGTGGGGGAGTGGTGGTGGTGGTTGGACCGCGTTGTATGTGCGATAGGGTTTACTCTGACGGGAGGATGAGGATGCGAGTGAGATAGTGTGGTTTCAGGGAGTGCTTGTAGGATCGCTTGTTGGGCTCTGTAATTTGTCCCTGTCCTCGCGGTGCTGATGATACACTTTACCGGTGCCCTTGTGTGGAGATTTATTGTGTATCATAGGTGAGTGCTCGTAGGGCGATCATATTGTAATAGACTACTTTGTATTGCTTTTAGTCTACGAGTGATGGTTGGAAAACGGGGCGCTGCTGACTCAGCTGTTGTGCTTCAACTCTTGTTGGAGCCTAGTCTTGGCAAGACTCACAGTCATCTCAGCTTGCAATGCTAAGGATCGTACCAACTTCAATACAAATAGCGGTACCGTACTGGACAAGCTACTCTCAGCCGCCACTAACGAGCCCAGGCACCACGATACCATTGTAACGACGATAAAGCATCCAAAGCCTTATCCCGTCGGCAAGCCAATAAACACCCGCCTCACTTACCCCTGTGCTCTTCTCACCAAAATACCAAAAAAATGTCTATCCTCGACCTCCCAAACGAGCTCACCTTTCTAATAAGCAACCGTCTCACACCCCCAGACCTAAACTCCCTCGTTCAGACAAACCGGTACTTTGCGAACCTACTGCAGCCAAGCCTGCTAAACACGGTCTTCACTCTGCGCTCCGAGACGTACGGCCAACGTTTACTTTACACCCGCGCCCGGGCCAGCAACCGCGGTGAGATCCGCGCGTTGATCGGGCAGGGCATACTCGAGTTCGCCCCGCAGAGGAGATTACTCAACACGGCGGTGACAACGCAGACGCCGATGACAGTGGAGTTCCTGCTGGAGAGCCTGGGCGAGGAGAATGTCGGCAGCTTCAGCAACGTGAGCGAGCGGTCGCCGCTCACGACCGCCGCCGTGGGCGGACTTTCGGAGATGACGGAGATGTTGCTTAGGCGGGGTGCCGGGATGGAATTGTCGGAAACGGGCTGCCTCGGACCCCTACACATGGCGGCTTCGTTCGGTCACGTGGAAGTGGTGAAGCTCATGCTAGCCCACCCGAACGTCGATGTCAACACGCGAAACCAGCAGCGCACCACGCCCTTACACCTCGCCTCGTTCAAGGGGTGTGAAGCGGTGGTGCGCGTGCTGCTGCAGGACGCCCGGGTGGATGCGAACGCGCGAGACGCCAGCGGCGCGACGGCGCTGCTGAAGGCCGCTCACCGTGGACGCGGGGACGTCGTGAGGCTCCTCCTCACGCTGACCCAACTCGAGGTCAACGTTCAGGACGACAGGCGCTCCACCGCCCTCGGACGCGCCGCGTCCCGCGGACACGAGGACATCGTGCGTGCGCTGCTGGCGGACGAGCGGGTCGACGTCAATGTCGGCAGCATCGGCGGAGAGTCCTCGCTCTTCTCCATGGTCCGGCGTCGCAGCCTGGCAGACGTGGTGCGCGATTGCCTGGCCGATCCCCGCTTCGACGTGCACGTGCGCGACAATGACGGCAAAAGCATCATGCACATCGCTGCGCGCTACGAGCCCACCGGCATGGTCAGCATCCTCCTCGCGAACCCGAGGGTCGACGTGAACGCGCTCGACAGTCACGGCCGGTCCGCCTTCTACGCCGCCGTCGACACTAGGAATGCGCTGGTCGTGGAGACGCTCCTCGCCGACGAGCGCGTGCTAGTCAATCTTGGTGATTCCGACGGTGTCGGGCCCCTCGAGAGGGCGCTCATCGCGGGGGACAAAGAGGTGCTCAGGTTGCTGCTGGCTTGTCGCAGGGTTTCCAAGGAGGTCCTGTTGGAGAGGGGCGTCGGGAGGGAGGCTCTGGACGGGATCGAGAAGGGTCAGTTGGACGAGGCTGTCGACGCGGTTCTGGCTGCTATCGCACAGAGGGCCGAAGGGGAGGAAGGCGAGGGAGGTGCCGACGCACCAGAGGCGCAGCCCGAAGCAGGGGTGGCGGGCGCTGTTGTTGCATGAATTGGGGGGGGGGATTTGCTTTCAGTCATGTTTTTCTCGTTTTAACTATCATAGCTCAGTCCCTCATAATATTATGAACCAAAATGTTACTTGCAGCAGATCAAGAAAGACGATTTTTTTCAGCCAATTCATGAGAACTATATTCTAGCGATCGAATACCAGAATCCTACACCTTCTAACCAGTTTCGGAAAAACAAACCACAACCTTTCCAAGTCCCGAAATATCCATCAGATTATCTCTCCGTGACCACCAAATATCGCATGATAGAGATACCACACCTCCTCTGTGCTCGGCCGTAGGAATAAAAGAAGAGTAGCATCCATCTGCTTTCCAAGCGGACAGTTCACGTTCTATAATAGTGGGCGTTGTACTTTTCCATAATCGGTTTGACTTAGGCATGGTATCGGTTGATATTTTATTAGTGCGTTGGCGGGATTACCATTTGTATACTGCATAACTGGTAAAGGGTAGGTACTGGCATGTAGCCTTGAAAGTACGCGAACAGAAAGGAAAGATCTAGTTACCTTCTAACCGGGTAACCGACCCATTCATATGATAAGAAATTGCTTTGTATGATAGATATCTACTTGCACCAACATACAATAGCAAGTTTCCTCTCCCTGATAGAGCCCGCCCCGTACGATAGCTACAATGATCAAGACAGCCCAACATAACCATGTCCGTCCCATCCAATCCTCTAACTTCATACTAGGCAACACGAGCAGTGATTCCGGAGGTGAGGTAGTGGAGGCGGTCGAGGTGACCCACCTGCCGCGCCGTCTGGATCTGCAGCAGATCTTGAAAATAAAGTTCGTATCGACGCCAGAAAAAGAGGGGGAACAATCACCTGCCCTGAAGCTGGCGGGCCGATGGGGGATGGCGCTGGGGATGGTATGTATGATACTGGCTGAATTAAGGATGCGCCTGATAGTCTCATTTTGCTTTATGTCTGTTTAAACACTTGTAATGTACTGGAAGAAATTTTGGAAAGGAAATCTGATAGTTGGGCACTGAGTGGGTGTGGTCTCGAGGTGGACTTCGAGTAGAGACGTCAAGGTGCGGGTGTTTT